ATTCGCATCTGCGGATGTCTAAAATTCCACATTCGCAACATCCCTAATACATACATGCATACATACATCNCATCCGCATTCGCATCTGCGGATGTCTAAAATTCCACATTCGCAACATCCGTAATACATACATACATACATGGTGCATACAATGCTTTTTCCGACATTTTTTAAATGAACAGATCTGCTCACTTTTAAAGTTGAAGACAATAAGACACTGAGAATTTCAATTAATTCCATTTCAAATGATTTATGCATGTGTTTGAAGACATACATATTTATGTATGTACATATATGTACGGGTATGAATAAGTTTGCACTACACATTCATCAATTGCTCATCTGCAGGGCTGTATTTAGTGTAAATTTCCCATTGAAAGTGTTCAAAGTAGCTTGTAAACAAAATTTAATTTATCTAATTTTGAAGTGCAACCATTGTTAACCCAAACCGTTTTCCATAATATTTTTATTTGTTATAGAATCGCATGTTACCAGAACATCATCATCATTATTGTTATCTTACTGGTATGCTCTTTTAATATACAAAACTTTGTCGCTTTTTAATTGAGTCGTTTATTTTGAAAGTGGCATAAGTCACTTCATACCTCTTGTGCTTAAATAACCGGCTACTTGTAACCGAATGCATCTGTAAATCTTTCTATCGTCTTAAACCAATGACAAAACCTCTGGTTGATGAAGTTAAACGAATAACCGACGCGTGCAGATACAAGTAACCGGTCATTTAAGTAAAAGATTTATGAAGTGACTTATGCCACTTTCAAAGTAAAGCGCTCAATTATAATATAACTAATTCCAATCGTGCTCTTACAAATTTATTGTATTCCCGGATAGATCTGATATATATTTTTTTTCATATTCAACGGGTAATTAACAATTCTTTTCTTATCTAGAATCGGTCATATCTATAGCAACCCCATTTCAAAGTGATATTGTTTGTCACTTATGTTTAGTTATAATTTTTTTTTTAATTTTAAATTAAAATACAGTCCATGCTCTAAAAAAAATAGTTAAGCCCAAAAATAAGACTTCGCAGAAAACTAAAAAAATAAAATAAAAAAATGTTCACCCATATTTCAAATTTTTTTCTCAGTTTCAAGTGGCTAGCAAATACCATTGATTTTTTTAAATTTATTTTTATATGGAAGAAACCCGCAACACTTTCGGTGAAAAAAATTCTAAAAATCAACGATAGCACAGGTTTACAAAAAAAAGGTTCGGTATATTGAACCAAACCTCTATACCCCTATGTTTTTCGACGCTCTGAAGGCGAATCCGAGGTCTGTTAACCTCCATCACGTCAAGTTCGAGATAATTTGAAGGTCAGTTAGGGAAAAATTCATTAAATAAACCTGAAAATTCGTACAAGTGAGGTTTAAGACTCGTTGAATCCCAATCTGAGGTCCGTTAAACTCAGGTTCGAGGTCATTTGAGGGGCAAATAGGAAAAAAAAATTTATTCAATAAAAATAAGAATAAAAATTTGTCGCTAAATCCGAGTATGGGTGTTCCTCGATTCTTCAAGGTCATCTGGGTGTCATTTGAAACAATTGAAACTTGCACATTATTAGACTAAAATTTAATGATACGAAAAAAATTAAAACACTTCCGAGAAAAAAGTTTGAAATTTGGGTGAAAATTTGTTGAATTTTTGTATAGTTTTTTTTTACACAGTTTTAAACTTGGGTTTATAAAGGGTTTTGTTAGGGAATGAACTGTTTTTATTTTTTGTAGTGAAAATTTCTAAAAATAAGTAAATAAACTTGAGTGGCAAACAATATCACATTGAAATGGGGTTCCTAATGTATTGACCCATACTGCCCTAGTAGGGCGACGTTTTTGTTTGCGACAATTGTTTTTTTCACTCCTACCTCGAAATATTGTAGAAAACACCAAAAAAAGCTCCCTGAAAATTTGAACCCTTTTTATTAGCATTAAATACTCGCACAAGGCGTGCAAAGATTTCTCATATAAAATACTCGTAAACTTTGAGTTGTTTTCTTAAAAAGTCTACAGCTCAGAGGCCTTTTATGGTATACTCTTGGTAAATGATGGGTTTTCTTCAGAATTAAATGCTCTACAAAAATGTCCATTGCGGTGTAATCCTAACTTCCCCCGGCGAGGTAGTACCGGTCACTAGACCCAATGTTTTCATGAAATTCTCGTTTTTTGCCCCTATCTCGAAAATAACAAGAGCTACAGAAAAAATATAAATAACAAACTTGTAGGACTTGCAATTTCCTACAAAAAAGTTTTGGAGCACAAAATCGTTAATATCGATATTTCTTGAGATATTTTAGCATCACACGTTTGGGTACCAAGTATTCAAAAGATGAAGCATATGTGACCATAAATAGGATTATATAGGATAGCTCTCAATCCCTGAGCCCCCTATCGGAAGAAAAATCCTTTTAAAAACCTTTCCATAAAATAACAATCATTCAATGCGATTTTGAAATCTGGGAGAAAATTCTTCCCAATTGAATTATTCTTGCCATTTTCTGATTTGTAGATGTAGGTGTATCCATAACCTTATCATAAGTAGTTTCAGAGATAAGCGATATGGAATATGTATTTTGTATGGGAGGTGCCCCATCCCCCTTTCCAATACAAACCACTTTTCGCCATAAGTACGTTAGCAAAAGCGGTTCCATAGATAAACGATATTTGAAATTTGGTTTGTATGGAAGATGCCACGCCCACTTTTCCAAAACCTACCACTTTTCGCCATAAGGACGGTATTGTTAACATATGTAGCTGTTTCAAACTTCAGGATGTTAGCAAAAGCGGTTCCAGAGATAAGCGATTGACAATTTCAGTTTGTATGGGAGGTGCCACGCCAACCTTTTGCAATACCTATAATTTTTCGCTGTAAGTAGGGTATTTACAATTTATGCATCCGTGCCAAGTATCAGCGTGATTGGTTTAAGAGATAGATCAGTTTTCACATTTTAGTCTATGTCAGATGCCACGCCCCCTGTATAGTGGGGTTAACATTTCTGGATTAGAGGAAGTTATATCCCTTCAAGAGAACGGTGCCCTCAAAAAAGGGGGTTCAAAATTGTATTGTGGCGTATTTATGTTTGGAGCTAAAACGGTCGAAAAAAGAGCAAATAATACTAATAGTAGCTAAAATGAAGAGCTAAATATTTTTGTTAAGGATGAGCATTTATTGACGTAAGGTTGTTTTTACATTTTCGGAAATTTTAATAAAAACAACGAATTTTATAAGTNCCTTTTAAAAACCTTTCCATAAAATAACAATCATTCAATGCGATTTTGAAATCTGGGAGAAAATTCTTCCCAATTGAATTATTCTTGCCATTTTCTGATTTGTAGATGTAGGTGTATCCATAACCTTATCATAAGTAGTTTCAGAGATAAGCGATATGGAATATGTATTTTGTATGGGAGGTGCCCCATCCCCCTTTCCAATACAAACCACTTTTCGCCATAAGTACGTTAGCAAAAGCGGTTCCATAGATAAGCGATATTTGAAATTTGGTTTGTATGGAAGATGCCACGCCCACTTTTCCAAAACCTACCACTTTTCGCCATAAGGACGGTATTGTTAACATATGTAGCTGTTTCAAACTTCAGGATGTTAGCAAAAGCGGTTCCAGAGATAAGCGATTGACAATTTCAGTTTGTATGGGAGGTGCCACGCCAACCTTTTGCAATACCTATAATTTTTCGCTGTAAGTAGGGTATTTACAATTTATGCATCCGTGCCAAGTATCAGCGTGATTGGTTTAAGAGATAGATCAGTTTTCACATTTTAGTCTATGTCAGATGCCACGCCCCCTGTATAGTGGGGTTAACATTTCTGGATTAGAGGAAGTTATATCCCTTCAAGAGAACGGTGCCCTCAAAAAAGGGGGTTCAAAATTGTATTGTGGCGTATTTATGTTTGGAGCTAAAACGGTCGAAAAAAGAGCAAATAATACTAATAGTAGCTAAAATGAAGAGCTAAATATTTTTGTTAAGGATGAGCATTTATTGACGTAAGGTTGTTTTTACATTTTCGGAAATTTTAATAAAAACAACGAATTTTATAAGTTTAAGTGTTAAAAAATCTTTTAAAACAAAAATAAGGTGCATATATTTCCAATTCGTTGGTATGGAAATTATAACAGTGAACTAAAAATACTTTACAAACTGTTAAAGTCTTTGATTTCAGATATTTGAATTGAATAATTTTTTCGCAAAATTTTTCTGGAAAGTTTTACTTCCAGCTCTCCTTAAAGGTAAAATTAGTAGGGTAAAACAAAATCCGCGCTGTCATAGAAAGGATTTTTTTTAAATTAATTTTTGAATTCTTTTACCCAGATCCAGTGTTTATGGTGGATACACTGCATCTCGAAATTTTCCATTTTATCAACGCTTAAGTTTTGGCTTATTATACCAAATACAACTAAAACTTTCTGGAGCTAAAAAAGTATAAAGTGCTACATAAATTTGAAAAGAGCTAGGATTTTCGGAGCTTAATAGAAAAATAAAGAGCTAAATCTAGCTCCAGAGACACCAAAATGGCAACACTGGTGCCGCTTGCCTTAAGCCCCGGCCCGTGACCATCTCTGGAATAGACATAGTATGTTTCCTTTGCATTGGTGTTGTATAAGTGACAATTGGGAAAATAGTATTTGGCGCACAAGCATTTAAATTTAGATTAATGAGAAATTTTCATGAATTTTTATTTTGTATTTGTTTTTATTAGTTGATAAGATAAGTTGAAAAATATAATACATCAGCTTAAAGGATGGAAAATTAGAGCTCTAAAGTATAAAATAATATAGGGGTATATTTTTTTCGATATAGAACAATCCTAGGGGGCGCCGGCATTAAAAAACCGACCTTATTTTTTTACATACATACATACATTTTTGGACCACTTTAATGTGCATAGGTAAACATATATACATACATACAAATGCTACACATAATGCTTTTTTACATTTCATCTACATCTTCAAAAATTTTAAGGTATTGGTTTAGGTCAAGCTTTCATGGTATATTTACTGGCTACTTATTACGAGTGTATTTGTGCGCTAATCGCATACTACTTGGTGCAATCATTCCGTGATCCGCTGCCCTGGTCCTACTGTCGATCGGAGTGGGGAGCGAATTGTATTGATTCAGCGCCACGTAGTTGGCTTGGAGATGACAAGTTCCTAGATTCTAAAGCGCTTAAGGTGTCCGGTGGAAACTGGAGCTTGGTTTACGGTAATCTAACAAAGCAAAATGAGGATCGGGTTATTTCGAGTTCGCAATTATATTTTGTGTAAGTTTTACGTTATTGCCTCTGCTAAGTGTATTTGCTTTAAAGGTTGTGGGATGTAATAATGGCCAATTTTATTTGTTTAAGTTAATTCTGATTGAACTTTCACAGCAAAAATGTGTTGAGGGAGAAAATAAACATCGATGACGGGATCGGTTTGCCGAACTGGGAACTAGTGTTGGGTCTCTTGGTATCTTGGACAACTATATTTATGGTCATTAGAAGGGGCGTAAAAAGTTCCGGCAAAGCTTCATACTTTTTGGCGCTCTTTCCTTATTTGATAATGGCAGTTTTGTTAGTACGGGCCGTAACATTACCCGGTTCCGTAGATGGTATAATCTATTTCATTAAACCCAATTGGGGAAAAATACTGGATCCTAAGGTAAGTGTATTGTTTTTACTCAAATTGTATTGTTTATTGACTTGTACATACGTACAAATGTATGTATGTATATGTATGTATGTATATACATACATACAGTTACCTTAATTCACAAATAACCAACAACAACAAAAAACATTATAAAAAAAAAATTAACAAGTCATTTTTAAGAAAAGAACACAATCGACTTCAATTCTCATATAAAAATTTAACATTATCGATAATTTCTTCATGATCTAATGATCGGATCTAAACCAAATTAGTATGGGACCACCTGTGAGTTATGCCGCAACTTATGCGGTAACATACTCCATAGCGACAAGAGTAATTAATTTCGTTATCAAATTATAAGTTTGTTTTCAAAAACAAATGAAATATTAAAAAAGAATAAAATTGTTGCAAGAAATTATTATTCAAATATCGCCTGTAGCAATAATAAAACGACTCATTTCGGTAATAAGAAAACGACTCGCCCAGGCGAGTTGCCTGCGGCGGACGTTTTAGAGCGACTGGTAATAAGAAATCGATACCGGCCGATTGCCGGCAATAAATTTGTTGCTGAAGGCGACAAGTTTTCTTATTTCCGGCAACAAAAATTGTCTGGTGGGTGCGTTGTTTTTTGTACTAACACTTTAAAAGTTTTAGTGAAGTTGTACTTATATATCTTACCAAAATATTTGGAAAACACAATTTCGAAAATGTGTTGGTTAGGGCCTTTGTGAATTAAGGTAACAATATTTTCCTCCACTTAATGTGTATGGGCAATAAATAATAGAAAATTATGGTTTCAGGTGTGGTACGCGGCAGTCACACAATGCTTCTACTCACTCTCAGTCTGCTTCGGCAACATAATCATGTACGCATCCTACAATAAGTTCGAACACAACATTCACCGGGACGCAATGATTGTGACCACTCTGGACACTTTCACTTCGCTAATTTCGGGTTTCACCATATTTGGCATTCTGGGCAATTTGGCTTACGAAATCGGAACTGATGACATCGGCACCGTGGTGAAGGGTGGCACAGGCTTGGCGTTCATTTCATATCCAGATGCGATTTCCAAGTTCAAAACTTTGCCACAAATATTTTCGGTCTTGTTCTTCCTTATGCTTTTTATCCTTGGCATTGGCTCAAATATTGCAATGACGTCGTGCACAGTTACAGCGATACGCGACAGTTTTCCACATATTAAGCAGTGGCACTGTGCTTTGGCTATATCTATAATAAGTTTCTTTATTGGATTGGCCTACGTCACACCGGTAAGAAAACGAAATAAATATGGTTTTTAAGGCAAAAAGACATGATTACATCGGCTCAAATTGTTTCCAATATTTTTCAATGTACTAGTGAAATGTTCATGTAAATAGGTATGTCAACACCTTGTTTAAAGAAAACTTAAAAAAATAAAAAATTTTTAGGTATCGGTTTCTTGTTTGAGGACACTCCTCGTGGACAACTTAACTCTACATTTCATGGTTTGGTCCATTAATTCATTTAAGGCCGTATGGGAACACTTTTAAACAGCTTCTTTACTCTTGAAAATTGTAGTGAATTTAGTTTTAAAAATGTTAGCAATGTTGCTAGTTGTTATGTTTCCTATGTGGCTTTTACAACAACAACATTCTTAATGCAATTTCGTAAAATCCGTCTTAGCTGCCAAAGCAAATATGTCACACAAAAACATTTGAGAAAATTTTAAACCGACTTGATCGTGTCTAGATGCCTTTAGGAAAAAAGTATAACACATACTGCCATTCGCAGAATAGGTTCAACATGATTTTAAATTATAACTCTCTTCAAATGCGCATTTACTAGATGGTTCGCATGTTCTTTTTGTAAATTCAATGTTAAAGCCCCTTCAATTCACTAACAAACAACGCCAAAAATTACTACATTGGCGAAAAATTATAATTTAACCGTTCAGCAAAATAAGTTCAGTGCAATCAGCTTTTGGTTAAAGAGAAATCTAAAACGTAAATAAATAGCAAACTGCGCATCGCTAAGCTAATTGATACTTTGATGACACAAATAAACAAATACTAGTCACAACGTCCTACAAAATCACAGACTTTGCATATTGAATAAGCTGAGATAGGGCGTTCTCAACGAAATTCTGGGACAGGGCGTTTTCAATCAAATTCTGAAGTAGGGCGTTCTTGAAAAATTTTCTGTGATAGGGCGTTTTTGAACTGGCTACCGATATAGATCGATCTTCCACTCAGCCATCGAAATGTACTTAACAGGGATGTTTCGAATGCCATATTTTTCACATTCGCGAGTGCGAATGCGAATGCGAATATTAGGAATATCATTAAAAAAGCTATAATCAACTTAAGTCATCGTTTTTATTAATTAAAAATTTTGTAAATTATGTAGTAGAACATTGAACGCATACTTAACCTGCATGTACAGTGTTTTAATCTAGTAGTCAAAGTTCATATAATATTAAAAAAAGTAATTTTCTGCCTTTTCGCCCATGAGGCGATTTCTTATAGGCTCGTATATAAGGCCGGCTGCACTGAACAATTGCTCACTTGGAACGCTGTCAATTTATCGTATTTTAGTTTGGTTTTCCACTATTCGATAAGATTTTCACAGAGATGAGCTCGTTTTTCTTTAAGACAGGCCTTCAATTGAGCTTTAATTTCACATTTTTTAATGTCTCCAGATTATACATCCGAGGCCTCGACTTTTAGCAGTACTTGTTGAAGGCCCATCAATGTTGCTTGATATACTATTTAACCGTTTAGTGCCTGAAGCTAAACGCCGGTTATTGTTCGCACCCTGGTTAAACAGACTTTGAGCGATTTCAACAATATTATAGTGAACTCTCTGCCTATGTACACATTCGCATTCGAAAAACATTCATATCATTTGATGCGAATGCGAATGTCGAATGCGAATGTGTAAAATGATGAGAATCATTCGTAAACGAACGCGAGTGCAAATATGCGCAACATCCCTGGTACTTACTTTTCTGCGCATCGGTAAAAAAATAATGCATTTGAAAGCCGAATACATTGTATAATTTTACGTTCTCAATTTAAAACGCTAAAAACAACTAATAATAGCCTAATGTTATTGTTTTGGGTTATGTTATGAATTGAACGGGCTTTAACGGCGAATTTACTGAAACATCTTCCGGATATTATAGTAGATGCACCAGACCCACAAGTTGCAACGAATCATGCCATATAAGAGTGACGGATTTACGGGGGAGAGGGGTTTGCGACTCTCTCCCCGCCAGAGACGGCGGTATTCTTTTTTTGTGATATTACTTTTCAAAATACCCAACGTACGCATTGTATATAAAAATATACCTAATCAAACCACAAGCACATACAGGATTTAGAAACAAATATTTTCATAAGCTATTTCTCCGTTTGAGTGTTGAAAATGGACTTTCTTGCTTTGCTGTCGAAACTGTTAAAACAGCCAAAATACTCAATATCGGTCACGTATTCGAAAGCATTTTAATTGACAATTAAAAGATAAAATCAGATAAATAAGAAATATCTTACAAATACATGTACATATATTGCAACTGAATATCGAAATTACGCTTTCGTCAAGTGAAGCAAACAAGTTTTTGAAAATTTTACCATTCGCTCGTCTTCTCCACATTTTGACGTCCAATGCAAACTTATTTTTTGGAATAAATAGTTCATAAAGTTTCTTGCACTTATCGAAGTTGGACTCATTTACATATACATATAAAAAATTCAGAGACTCGAATGAGGGCACTTATTACCTAAAAAAAAAAAAAACTTAAGTAGCGCTATTCCTTATTGTAATATCAGAATATTTATTCATTCTTAATCAAATGAGGAACCGGCATAAGGCGCACTTGATTTTCGGGATTTATCACTAGTGTTGAACTTATTCGGCTGAGCAGCAGTGTACATACATACATACATAAGTACATACATATTCCTTTCCAGGGAGGTCAATTTATTTTGACTTTAGTCGATTTTTACGGCGCTTCAATGATTGCATTAATACTGGGCATATTGGAGCTCTATGTTCTGGGTTGGATTTATGGAGTGGATCGACTTTGTAAGGATATAGAATTTATGATTGGCCACAAAGTGAGTCGATACTGGCGTTTTTGTTGGGCGTTCATCACACCCGGAATAATGACGTTGATTCTGATTTACTTCTTCGCTACATACCAATCACTCACCTACAACAATGTTGAATATCCGAATTGGGCTTATGGTAAGCGAATTTACTTATGGTCTGATTATGGCAACTTAACATAACTTACGGCTCTCACTTAAAAATTCTGTTAAATGGATGTTGCTTAAAATTGAACAGCCGAAACTTAACATAACTTAAGGCCACGTCGAAATCTGCTTCATTTTGATTCTCTAAGTTTTACGTTCCGTTAAGTTAAGTTAAGTTGCCCTAATCAGGCTTTAAAGTGCACTTTAATCTAAAACAAAATATTTCATAAATTTATTTCCTTAGCGCTTGGCTGGACAATTACTGCCCTGGGTGTAATACAAGTTCCATTATGGGCCATAGTGGCGATCGTGCGCCAACCTGGCGAAAGTGTAAATGAGAAAGTTCGTGGTGCCTTCCGACCTGTACGTAATTGGGGCCCGTCGGATCCCCTGCTTCGTGAACAATACAATAAGAATCTCGCGAATGAGAGTAATTCGATGGGCACGGGTTGCTGGGCCAAGGTCAAGAAGAATTTTCTCAGTTGAACAGATATGTGATTCATTAGGCAGAAAATACTGTTTAATGCTTGCCAAAATTGATATACATTTGTATTATAGATTAAGCAGAAACGAGTGCACTTATTGTATAAATATAATACTAAACTATGTGCATATGCATGTACTTGAATCTATGGAAAATCGCCAGTATAAGCTTTAAATAAACATGTTGCACAAGTAGTTACGTTTACTATTGTACGAGTATTTTATTGAAGATATACTACAATATTTATT